ACCTCTGGCAACGACCGGGAAGGGATTTTAGTGGCGCTGGTGGTGCCTGCTGTCACCCCCTCCCAGCTCCCGGGGGATGGAGGGGTACCCGCGGGGCTGGGCGCGCTCCTCGGCTCCCAGCGGAGGGGTCGGTGCATTCGGAAACCGGGGCTGGAAGGAGAAGAGGAAGCAGACTTCACCCTGGGAAAGGCTTTGGGGGTCCCCCACGCTGCTGGAACCCCAGCTTAGCTGGGCAAAGCTCTGCGCTGTGCCTCATCCCGGGGCTTGTTGACCTGGAGTCAAGCTCTGGAATGGGCTGCCCGGGGAGGTGGTCGAGTCCCCATCCCTGAAGGGATTTAAAAGAAGGGCAGACGAGGTGCTTAGGGCCATGGTTTATGATGATCTTAAAGGTCTTTTCCAACCAAAGTGATTCTATGATTCTATTCTATGATTCTATGGTGCTAGGGCTGAGCACGGTGGTCCCAGCGGGTGTCACCCACCCTGGAGTCACTTCTCCTTCCCTCGTGCCTGGGGAGGCTGGGCCCGCATCACCTCACTCCTACAAGCCCAGGCAGTCACGGCCAGCAACACTGCTGCCAGCTGCCCCGGTATCCCTGCAAGCCCTGGCAGCCAGGGCCAGCACCCACCACACCGGCTGCCCCTTGCTGCTGGGTGCTGGCAGGGCCCATCCCGAGCAGGTCCCACTGCCCCAGGGCTCCCCGCAGCAGGGCTGCCCGGGCATGTCCTCCGTGACTCACGGTGCAGCTATGCCAGGTGGTGCCCTTGCTCACAGGCATGGCGGCAGCAGGGCTTGGCACGGCACCGTAACATGGCTTTTGCCTGGGATGGCATGGCCCAGCATGGACTGGCACAGCTTGGCCTGGTGTGGCTCAGCCCGGCACGGCCAACATGGCTTGGCCTGGCGTGACCAGCTCAGCTCAGCCCAGTTTGGCATCGCCTGGCCCAGCCCCACCTGCCCCAGCCCCGGGAAGAAGCTCTACACTGCCACTGTTCTGAAGAGAAGACTGAGAGGGGACCTCATCAACACCTACAAATATCTCAAGGGTGGATGTCACGAGGATGGAGCCAGACTCTTCTCAGTGGTGAGCCCTGGCCCAGGCTGCCCAGGGGGGCTGTGGAGTCTCCTTCTCTGGAGATATTCAAAGCCCGCCTGGACGCTGTCCTGTGCCCCCTGCTCTGGGTGAGCCTGCTTGAGCAGGGGGGTTGGACTGGGTCATCTCCCGAGGTCCCTTCCAACCCTTGCCATTCTGGGATTCTGGTGCCAGGGCTGGACACGGTGACCCCAGCAGGTGTCACCAACCATGGGGCTCCTTCTCCCCTCCTCGTGCCTGGCTGTGGGGAGGCTGTGCCCGTACCTCCTCACTGCAGGAGCTGACATCCAGCTGCTCCCTGCAGCTTCACACAGTGCCTGCATTCTAACCCCCCCCCCCTCTTCTGGGCAAATCCTTGCTCAGCAGGGAGCAGGTTGTACACGGGGTCAGGAGCTGTGTCCCTTGCAACCAGAACATTCAAAACCAGCTGTAGCAGGGTTCTGCGGCTGCACCCACAAGGGAATGCTCCAGCCCCGGCCAGAACCCACCAGAGCTGCCCTGTCCCCATCCCCACCTAGGAGAGCCCGTCGCAGGCAGCTTGTTCTGCCCACCCTGGCATGGAGGAGGCTTTGGGGTGCCCTGCTCTGGGCTGCCACAGCAGCAGCTCCATCTTATCCTCAGCCAGAAGGTGGGAAGCATAGGGTGGTCCCTGCTGGGGTCACCAGCCAGCTCTGCACCCAGTTGCAGGCAGCAGCGTGCCTGCAGACAAGGAACAAGCAGACCTGCAATGCCAGGGCTTGTTCCTGCTTTGGGCTTGTGCCTGAAGGGCTCTGCCAGCTTTTTGTCTGGCCTTGACCACCACTGACCGCCCTGCCCCCTCAGATCCACC